CTGAATTCGAGTGCTTGCTCAGGGTTCTGACTGTCTGCAGTCCCCAGGGCTGCCGCAAAACGGGGAGGTCAGCCAAAAAGTGGCCTAAGGAAGCAGAGAAAAGTTCGGCCGCGAAGACAGTTCCCCGGGTCTGGGTCCAGCGAGGCAGGCCACGCTCTCAGGATTTCTGGAGAGACCGTCCAGCGCTCTGCAGGTGCTGCGGTGCGTGGGGAGGGGCCGCTGGGGCCGGGGCCTCTCCAGGCAAGGACGTGGGCGCGGCGTTGGCACGCGGGCTGCCCACCAGCAGCGGCTGTGCCCCACTGTCACAGACACACGTGGCGGCTACTGGGATCCCGCGGAGGGTGGACCTTTCTGCTCCGGGGCCAGAGGTCAGTCCTGCGGCGGAGCCTGGCCTCCTGCCCCGGGGAGTGCCGCCCTGCGCTCTGCTCTCCCTCCCCAGGAGGCGCTGTTTGTCAAACTTGGTCGCCTCAGTGGGAGGTGCCCGCCCCTTTGCACTCGGAGAACTGAGCCTTTCAGGGCCGGGGTGTCTGGCGCCAGGATCCCCGGGCCTTACAGAGTGGCCTATGCGGGGACCTGGGTGCCCCCTGCCAGACAGTGCAGCTGGGTCTCACCTGGGTCCCCGGGGACAGTGACGGCAGGCGGCTCGGGTTCCATCCCCAGGAGCCTCCGCGGCAGAGGGCCCAGGCGCACCTGGGTCTGACCGCCCACCCAAGGGCCTCGCTCCCTTTGCCTGGAGCGTAACAGGCTGGGGTGGCCGGAGTGGCGAGAGCTTAAGTGTCCAATGCCAGGGCAAGCATGACCCCAGGCAAACAAGGAGCATCCTAGGTCTGGTGCCGTCTCTGTCCCCCTAGGGTGGCACCTGCGCCTTGCCCCCACGCTGGGCACCTGGGACCTTCTTGATGCTTCTCAGGGATCAGCCTGGGGCCAGAGCTCCTGGCCAAGACCTTCCCACAGGGCGCAAGGTCAGTGTGACCCTGTGGCTGCCTTTGCACCTGGCTGGGCCCGCCGCAGACCCAATGGCCAGGAAGCCAGGAGCGACACCGACACCGGGCACTGTCTGAGCGTGACCGGGCCCTGGGGTAGTGAGCGACAGCTGCGTGAGTCTTGCTAGACACCAGAGCTGATGAGGCCACCAGCCTCTCCTGGACTCTGCCCCACTGCCACCCCTTGTCCCTCCCGGCCCTCAGCTTCCAGGACCCCCACGCGGGAAAAGACTGTTACGTGTTGGAAGGCTGGTGGGGACCTCGGCAGGCTCCCCTGCTCAGAGGAGGGCAAAAAGGGGCCCCTACGAGTGCCCTGGCCTGTCTCCACCCGAGGCCTTGCTCCGCAGCTTCCAACTCCACCCAAGTTTGGGGTGGAGGGGAGACTGAGGCCCTCATTCAGCCACCCCCGCTCCTCAGATCTCCCCAGGTGGCAGTGGGGGCGGGCTGCAGGGTCTCCTGGGACACCCCCGGGGCCGGCGCGCTGGTGGGCGCGCGCGGGGCTGGCTTGGGCGGGCAGCGCAGCTGCGAGGCCTGGGCGGGCCGCGGTGCGGGCCGCAGCGCGTTGGGGCGGCCTCGCGGAGCCGCGCGGGTTAGCGGTCAGGCGCGCGCGGGGCTGGGGGCGGCGGGCGCTGTCTCTTTAAGGTCACTGCCTGCTCCGGCACGACGTGGAGAGGACAGCTGGGCACTGGCCATCTGACTGACTCGGCGTGACATCTGGGAGCCCACTGGTGTGTGGCACGCGAAGCGCTTGATGCCGCTATTTAAATGCAAATGCGAGGGGGCTCATTGAAGCCTCTCCCCGTAAATCCGCACAAAAGGAACACTTCCCACCCTCCGAGGCGGCGGCGGCGGCGGCGCGGGCCACCCGTGCAAATCGCGTTGAGCGCTGGCTGGGCCCGTCGCGGCCCGCGGGGCTCTCTGCGGAGGTCGCGCCCTGCCCGGCTGGCCCCGGGGGCGCGGCGTGCGCCCAGGAAGGCCGCGCCGCCGCTCCCCAGGGACCCGCGCCCCCGCGCCCCCCACCCTGGGCTCCCACGACCCAGCGCTGGGCCCCTAGCTCCCGGCCCGGGGAGGGGGCAGGGCGGTTTCCCTGGGGAGGCGGCCGCGCAGGCCCTGCGAGCGCCCGGCCTGCGGGGGGTCAGAGGGTGGGCCCGGACTCGGCGCTCGGCCTGCCCCAGGCCCGCGTGCCAGCCCGGTTTCCCGCGTCTCGCCACGGCCGCTCCAGCCTCATCAAAGCGAAACTCAGATGGGGTGGGCCGGGGTGGGGCAGGGGGGGTCTCTGGCCCTCCCGGGCAGCTCGGCCACAGGCCTGGCCACACACTGTCCAGGGCGCCGACCCTCCTCGTGCCCGAAGCTCGGAGCCAGCAGTGGAGTGACAAAAAAGATAAAGTTGGTGAATGATAAAGACCGTATTTTCCACGCTTTGGGTGCGGGACCAGATGATCTAGAAAATGAGCTGAAATGGATTCAGCCTCCGAGCCTGTTGAGAGCAGCTGATTCCCCCATTCCGGGCCAGATGGTTGCTGAACACAGATTTGCATCCATTTTCGCTTAATATCGTCCAAAATAGTGGGGCAGCTGCATTTGTTGTCAGAAAGGTTTAAAACCCCCTTTCTTTCTGGGGCAGGATCGTTACCTTATGTGATGGGCTTAGAGAACTTTTTTTCTCTCTTTAGTCAACAGTATCAGATTGAGGAGGATTTGTTTTTAAACCTTCTAATTTGGTAATCAGATTTAAATCGCCTTGGCGCGTGTAATCTGAATTAAAGATACTGTAAATGGTTTTTAGCGTGATACTTTCGTGGGAGGAGGAAGGGGGCACCTCCGGGCCGGGCCGGGCATTTTAGGAAGTGTGCCACAAAGCAGGCATTGTTTCCTATTTCAACTTCATCTTTCCCGAAAAAAGCACTTTGCATAATCTGACAATAAGACTCGCCGGCCGCTGGCCCTGCGAGAGCCCCTGCGCAGCTCAGAGCAGGGAGACAAAGCCATCTCGAACCCCATCCTGCACCAGCGCCAACTTTATTTTGCACGGTCCCTCCACCCAGAAGGCGCCCCTTCCTGCACCCACTCTCCCAGGGTGCGATGCGCTGGGCTTGGTAGGACACAGGAATTTTCTTTTAATTTCTCGTGAACAGTTTCCATACACTTTGATTTAAGGTTATTAGCATTCTATAGGCGCTGGCATCTCGAATATGTGACGATCGCTTCTAACGACTAATCTCATTACCCTCAAATAGTCATAAAATATGATTTTATTATACTTACGTATTTAATTAGACGGCCGGCACCCTAATGGATTTTGAGATGGGACTGGGCAACAGCTTTGATAATTCACTTATCTTTGGCAATAGTCATTAACCCCCAACACCAGCAAAATAGATTGCTTTCCCCTTCCTGGAGGCGTGGGGGGTCCCCAGCTAACGTCAACCGGACTTCGATTTTCCCAGGTAATTAAAATATTAACGCACACACGCTCCAGCCCCGCAGGAAGGGGAGCGCCGGCCCGCGCCAGCCAGCGGGAAGGACTGCGGGGCGCGCGCACTTTGAAACCGGTTTTGCTTCGGTCTGCCTGTCTGTTTCTAGTCGCGCGGGTCTGATTTCTGCGGGCAGGAGAGCGCCCGGACAGCTCCCAGTGGTCCCCCGGGTCCCCGCCGCGAGCGGCACTCGCGTCCTTCGGGCGGGCGGCGCGCCCGGCGTCCATCCCGGCCGCAGGAGCCCAGCCGCCGGGCCCTCGCGCCGCCCGCGCCCCTGGCCCTCGGGTTCCTCGAAACCAGTTCGGGAAGCCGCGCGCCCGGCCCGGGGCTCCGGGGGCTCCGAGGGCAGCCCCCGGGGTCTCGCCGTCCCCGCTCGGCGTCCGGCGCGGCGGACTCCGGCGGGTCGGCCGAGGCGCGGGGCGCGCGGCCGGACCCCCGGCGACGTCCAGGTCGCCGGCCGGGCTGGGCGCGCTTCTCCTGTGCCCGGAGAGCCGGACGGAGCCTCCTTTGTCGCGCGCCGCCCCCGAGGACGGGCCGGGGCCGGGGGCGGGGGCGGGGGGCGGGAGCACACCTGGCCGAGCCTCCTCCGACGTGGGCCCGCGGCCGGCGCGGGCGGCCTCCTCGGGGGCACCGGAACCGCGGGGCCCCGGCTCGGCCCGGGCGGGGCGGGGGGCTCCCCGGCGGGCCGCGCCGCGCGCCCCCCGCCCCTCGGAGCGGGAGGCGGGCGGGCCCGACCCGGCCGCGGCCCCCACCTGTCCCTCGGGGCCGGCCGCCGCGCCGCCCTGCGTGTCGCGCCTACGGGGGCGGGGGGCGCCGGGCGCCGCCCCGGGGCTGTGTGGCTGACTCGGGCGGGCGCGGGGCGCGGGGCGCGGGGGGGCGGCGGCGGGCGCGCCGGGGCTTTGTCTCCGCGGCCGCCGGCCGGGCCGCGCGGTCCCCGGCCGGGGCGCGCGCGGCGCTGGCGGCGGCGGCGGCGGCGGCGGGGCTCGCGCGGCTCGCGGGGCTCGGGCCGGCTCGCGGCGCCGCCGGGCAGTCAGTCGGCGCGCGCGGCGGCGGCGGCGGCGGCGGCGGCGAGGGGCGCGGCGAGGGGCGGCCGCTCCCATATAAGGCGCAGGCGCCGCCCCCCGACGTCACCCTCTGACAGCGCCGCTCCCGGGGGCTTCGAGTTTTGGCTCCCGGGAAAGGGTCCATTCCTCGGGGAGAGCGGGCTGAGTTTTGTGCGCCTCCGTCCGCCGCGCGCGCGCTCCGGGCCCCGCCGCGCCCCGCCTGCGCCCGGGACCGCGCCGCGCCGCTCACCGCGCGTTTATTTGTCTTTGGAGCAGGCGGGCCGCGCCAGACGCGGGCGATCCCGCAGTGTCCTGCAGCCGCGGACGCCGCCGGGCGAGGATGACACCGCGCTGAGCGCGCCGCAAACAACAACAACAACAAGCGCCGCCGCCTCCGCGCCGCGGCCGACCGGAGCGCGCGGCCGCCCGTGCATGCGGCGCCGGCCCGGGACGGGCTGAAGCGGCGGCGCGCCGGACCGCAGGCGCCGAGCAGGGCGAGCGCGGCCAGGGCAGCCGCCTGCCGCCGGGCGCCGGGCGCCGCGGCTCGCCGAAGCGCGCCGGGCCGGGGGCCGGGGGCCGCGGCCGCCGCCAGCTGGGTTCATGTTTGGGATCCAGGAGAACATTCCGCGCGGGGGGACCACCATGAAGGAGGAGCCGCTGGGCAGCGGCATGAACCCCGTGCGCTCGTGGATGCACACGGCGGGCGTGGTGGACGCCAACACGGCCGCGCAGAGGTACGTACCGGCCGCGCCCGCGCGCCCCGGCCGCGCCCGCGCCGCCGCTCACCGGCCGCTGTCTCTCTCCTCCCGCAGCGGCGTGGGGCTGGCGCGGGCGCACTTCGAGAAGCAGCCGCCGTCCAACCTGCGCAAGTCCAATTTCTTCCACTTCGTGCTGGCGCTGTACGACCGGCAGGGCCAGCCGGTGGAGATCGAGAGGACGGCTTTTGTGGACTTTGTGGAGAAAGAGAAAGTAAGTGCCCGCGGCCCGGCCGGCGGGCCGAGCGCCCCCCGCGCGCCGGGCCCGCGCCCCGCCGCCACGTGCGGCCCCGGCCCGGCGGCGGCGGCGGCGGCGGGAGAGCGGCCTCGCGGCGCGCCCGCGGCCCGCGGCCCGCACTAAATGCCATTATTTATCGCCCCTTGCAGGAGCCCAACAACGAGAAGACCAACAACGGCATCCACTACAAACTCCAGCTGTTGTACAGCAACGGTAAGTGCCGCCGCCGCCGCGCGCCCTGCTCCGAGCCGGCGACAGCACATAAAGATCCCGAGATTAAAATGACACGGATGTAAACACGACATCTTCTCGGGGCATGGGAGGAAAACAAAACATAAACGATCAATAAGTCGATGGCACTTCACATGATTAACCGGTGGGGCTCGGAGTGGAAAGTAAGAAGGGATCGATGCGGGCTCCCGCAGAACCGCGCGTTTAAGTGACTTTCTCCCCCCAAGTTTGCAAATTCATGTTAATCGTGGGGCCGGGGCTAGCCCCACCGCGAGCGGAACTTACTTCCCGGGCCGGGAGGGCTCCTTGCCCTTGGAAACACAAAAAAGCCCAAACACAGAAATCCTCGAGAGGCATTAGAAAGAGTTCAGACTCTCAGTTTCCATTTCGTGCTGTTTGCTAAAAATAAACGACCACATGGGCTCCCGGGTGTAGCCGCAGGCCTGCCCTGAGCCGGAACCGTCTCCAGCCTTCAGACGCTGTCCCGGGAGTGGGGAGGGAGGTCCTGGGTGAAGGAAGGCACAGGACACAGCCGGGAGGGAGTGGTGGGCGCTCCGGTTCCGCCCCAGGCCCCAGATCCCTGCCCGAGGGTCCCGCCACACCGCCTGCAGACCTGCACTCTGCCTAACCGGGCCCCGGGAGAAGCCTGAGGAGAATTCGTTCCCTGTTTCTCGCAGGAGTCAGGACGGAGCAGGACCTGTATGTTCGACTCATAGATTCAATGACCAAACAGGTGAGAAAGTTTTGGGTTCTGCACTAGTTTTCGTCGCTGGGCTGGGGCTGGCCTGAGGTTGGGGACGGGGGACTTGCAGATGGACCTGGCGGGTTTGTTTTCATTTAGCTTTCTTGACATGCTAATGAGAATTCCATATTTATTGGAATAAATGAAGCGATTGGTAAAAATAGTTTATGTTGTCATTAGAATAGGGCATAGATGCTTTATTAAATGGCTTGTGATTGGAATCAAATTCTGTCTTCATTAATTATGGTAATTAATATTTGACAGAGAAATTCCGAGTTGCTCTCCGTGTGTGCGTGCACTGGAAGCCTTCCTTTCTCTTGGTGCTCGGATCGTTTCATTGATTTGTTTGTCTTCTAACAAAGGCAATGAGCCCCTTTCCGGAGCCCACGGAGTTGGGCTGCGTCCATTCCCTTCCCCTGCCTTTCCGTGTGATGGGCTCGTAGCGCCAGACCTTTATTTGGATTTGAAAGTTAAATGTGTTGGGGTGAAAAGTCACTTGTTCTCCTCTGGTCCTTCTTCACCCCTCGGCCCCCCTTCTCCATAATTCAAACTCTGAGCTCCAGGGGTCACCCCCAGCCGCCCGCTGCTCGGGGACCCTCGCCCACCCTCTGTCATACCTTGTAAATAACATAATTACAAGCGGTTCCTTATTAAATTATTTAACCTGTCTTGGTCAACTTTCCCGATGATAACTATCGGGCCTGGGAAACGTGATTAAGCCGGGACGGTCGGCCCGGGCTTGACGCTGTGCAGCCTCCCGGGCTCTCGGTGGCTCTTGTCTCCTCTTCTGCCAGCCCTGCTTTGCTCCTTTTTCTTAAAAGACTGTGGGGGGAGGGGCCGGGCGGGCGCCTCAGTGAAGGCCCCCTGCTCAGACAGATGGAGAACCGTGTGTGTGTGCATGGCCGTCCGGCTCCCCCAGAACGGAGGTGGCCTCCGGTGCCTGGTGCTAACTTTCAGACCGAGCGCCAGTGAGCCAGCGTGCCCTCGCGCCCAGCTCCCTGCTGCCAGGCGGCTGGCACGGAGGCTGGCACTCGGGCTGCCGGCTTCCCTCCCCAGTGGGAAGTTGGTTCCCAGCAAGGCCTTGGAGGGGGAGCCCAGGAGGGGAACCTCAGGCCGGCAGGGCCACTTGGTTGGAGAGGGAGCCGCCTCTGACAGGTCACACGGGGCGGCCCGGCAGCAGTGAGGCCCTGCGGCTCTGCAGAGCCGCCCTGACTCTGCACCCCTGCCCGCCCAGAGGCGCCTTTCTTTCCTTTGTACGGAGGCCCCGGGCTTTCTCCCCAGGCGGCGGCTCCCTCGCAGGCCTGCGGGCGGGCGGGCGGAGTGGAGCTCGCGGCCTGCTCACCCCTTGGCGCCTCCCGGTGCAGGGGAAAGAGGGCCGAGAAGAAAGCATTTAATCTCCGCACTGGCCGGGGGTGGGGGGAGTCGGGCGCCCAGTAACTGATCAGAGTCAATGGCGCTGAACCGACAGTTTATGGATTTCTGTTTGTGCTACAAAATAAAAAATAAATCAAATATAAATACGGGGTGGCGCCGCAGCCCCGGCGGCCGTGGCCAGCGGTGGTCCCCGCCAGGAGGGCCGGCGGCTGTCTCCTCCCCGGGCGGCCGCGGCGGGCGTCTCGGGAGCCGGCTTTGTCCGCCTGCAGGCGCAGGCCGGGCCGTGTCGCCGCGGCAGTGCCGGGGAGGGGGAAGTCATTTCCAGATAATTCTCCGGGCGGGCTCCCCTCCCCCGCCGCGGCGCGCCCCTCCCCCGCGTCCTTCCCCGGCCCCGCGCTCCCTTCCTGCGAGGCGGGTGTCGCGGCGCCCCGGCCGGCCGGCGCGGGTCCGGCGGCCGCGGCGCACCTCGGGCTTCGCACCATCTGGCGGAGCCTCTGCTCAAAGCCCACCCGAGCGTGCGCGCAGACACTGCCTTTTTACCCGAGAAAAATCATTGTTAGCAGTTTCAAAATAAACACCAGATTGGCCATTAGCACTTTCTTCCCAAATACCCTCCTGCGGGAAGCACGTGGCCGCGCGGCCCGGCCGCCCCGGGGACCCCGGGCCTGCTGCGGCCACGTGCGGGCCCCGGGTGGGCGCCGCGGGCCGCGGGCCGGCCGGCCGGGCGGGCGCGGGGGCCGGACAGTGACCCGAGGCGGCGGCCGGCCGCCCGCCCCCGCCGTGCACCTGCCGCCCGCCGGGGCGCGGGGAGGACGCGCGGCCGCCGCCTGACCCCTCCGCGTCCGTTTGTGCCCGCGCAGGCCATCGTCTACGAGGGCCAGGACAAGAACCCCGAGATGTGCCGCGTGCTGTTGACCCACGAAATCATGTGCAGGTGAGCGCGGGCGGGGGCGCGGGGCGCCGGGCGCGCGCGGACACCCGAGGCCGCGGGGAGGCCCGCGGTGCAGCCAGGCCGGGCCCAGCGGCGGCCGCAGCGCCCAGCGCCGCCGGCCCGCAGCGGGGCCGCCGCTGCGCCCTGGCCCGCATCCCCGGGCGCGCGACGGGCTGGTCCTGATGAGAGCCGACTCTTTCGTGCTCATTACCGAGCCCGCCTACGTGCGAATTGCCTCGCGCGGGGCCCGTTAACCTCTCCCCGCGCCGCGCGGCTCCTCCGCGCCGGGGCGCGAGCCCGGAGATCTCTGTCGGAAGAGCAATTTCCCACCTGTTTTCCCCGACTACCGCAAGAGTTTCACCCCTGCATGGCAAATAAAAATGCATCATTGACTTTGCATGTGCGGCGACTGGAATCTAGGCGGAGGGAGGGCCGGCGGGCCAGCCGCCGCCGACAGTAGCGGCGCGCCGACTCTGAGCGGCGTCCTTAGCCCAGCTACCGAGCCCACTCGCCTCCCTGACACTTCTGAGCAGACGTATTGTTACAGCACTAATATACAAAAGCTGACTTTTTCTCATATCAGGTAATAAATATAAATTACAACCAATAAAGTGGAATTTCTTTATTATCCACTTCTGCATGTACTGCAATTAACATAGAAAGCGCACAGATGTGATTTAAGCTCTAAGTGGAAGACTGGCGACTTTCTTTAATCACTTTAGCTGTCAGCTTTAAAAGGCTTTATATACTTTGCCTACCATATGGTGTTAATTTAGCTAATTTAGACATGTAACCATTATACAAGTATGCTTTTTTAAAATGCAAGAAGCATAACATTTTTCTTTCGTTTCTGCTTTAATTAAAGTTTCAATAACGGAGTTAAGGTAGGCTTAAAGGGGGGACAATACAAGTTTCTGATAGATGGGTGCATGCTTTTGTGGGTATAATTAATAAGTGCCCGAAAGAAATATTGGTTGAAGGTGGCGTCTTGCATCTTTTCCAGAAATAACAGCTTGACAATTAGAGGTAAACAAAGCTGAAGCTGTGAGAGCTTATTCCCCAGCCTCCTGCCTCCCCGGCTCCTCAGTTCCCTGCAAAGACAAACACCCACAACACGATTTCCATATTTTAGCATCACAATTTATGCCCTTGCTGGGCGGTCCTAACCCAGAGGTTCAACTTTGCTCCTTCCGGGCAAAAGTGACATCCTAAGTTTGGCCTCGGAGCACCTGTGCTCACTGGGGGTCCCACGTGCCCGACCATCTCCACTTATTTTTCTGACTCCAACTGCTTTACTGTCAGACTTCAAAAAAAAAAAAAGCAAAGTAGATCACAGTCCGGGCAAGTGCTGCAGTTAAGTCCCTGTTGACGATTGTTCTGCAGCCGGTGCTGTGACAAGAAGAGCTGTGGCAACCGGAACGAGACGCCCTCGGACCCCGTGATCATCGACAGGTAAGGACCAGAGTGCGGCCGGCCCAACCCCTGCGCCTCTCTGGCTTGCGCTGGCGCCGTCTTCCCGAGCCTGGCGCGGCGCTCGCTGGCTCGGCGTGTGTGATGCACCATTTGTTGTCCGCGTGTGTGTCATGCACAGGTGGGTTGACTTGGAAACCTGGTGGCTGGCTCTGTGGGGATTCAGTAATTGCTCGTGAGTTGTCAAGGGAAGCGGTTTCAGCTGCCACTGCTCTCGCTCTGAGGGGCACTTTATGCCTGGAGAGTTTCTGGCTTTAAACCCAGAGATATGTCATAAAACGTCTTTTGCTAATTTGTTAACAAGTATTTCATTTTTGCGTTCTTTTTTTATCTCGGATGAGACTGGGTGGTGCCGCGGATGTGACCGTTGCCCAGTGTTAGAATGAATCTAATCTGCTCTCAATTAGTTGCGAAATGTCTCCTAATTTTTTTCCAATTGTGGCTGTCGTTGTACGTCAAGTAGCAAATATGTAACTAACAAACCAAAGTTGTGATAATTGAAACTAATTACACACGCTGGTTACATTTTCCAGCATTAATTTCCATAACTAGATTAGCTGTATGCATTCTTTACATCCGCGGCTGCTCTGTCTCGCTGTTTGGCGTCTCCTTGGGCAACCTTGCATGCTTTTGAGATACTCATCATCCGTCCTCCTCGTGCTAATGTGTGTTTGGCGTGGCTGGAGTTGAAACACAAACACCTAGCACCCTCCGCTCCCCGCCTCGCCTCGCCGGGACACTGGGTCCCGGCGGCCTGCAGGGAGGAGGCGGCTTGCTTTCTGCCCAACAATGAGGTCGGGCAGCAAAGGCCCGGGGTGTGATTGAGTGCAGCCGGGGAGGCTGGTACCCAGCTCGCCTGAGTGTCCGGCGGCACACAGGACGCGGGTTCTGTGAAGCAGAGAGTCAGATTGTTTTGAAGAGGGGTTGGATTTCAGCAGCTTTCAGTACAAAGTTATCTTTTGATCATGAACTTTGCCGTCCAGTGTCTGAAAAATTAAACCCGGAAAACTCGGCCAGTTAAGCCTAAAGAAGTACGCGCCACCAGTGGAGAGCAATGCTAATGTTTGACTAGCTGGAATAGCTGTTTGCTCAGTGGAGAATGTTGCGGGTCTGACAGAGGGGACAGCTCCCTGATTAGTAATCAAATAGGCTTGGCCAGTTGTGGTCGTCACTCAGGCGAGTGCGAACAAGTTCAACACTTTCTAGAACGCCAACTCCAAAAATCAATGCGATCGTACTCGGGCCCGGTGTTTTGGGGCTGCGGAAAGCATCTGGCCTTGCATTGTTGTCTCAGAACCGAATTCAGTTCATTTCTTGATTTATTTGGATTGGCTAAAAGTATGGGAGCAAGTCTTGGCCTCCTCTCTGAGTGGACGCTGCCGGAGCCAGCCGTGCTGGCATCCTGGCTCGTGAAATGTTTCGTCTTTGCTGCTGCCTTCAGTTTTGAAGATTTAGAAACTGGAAAACATTTCAAAAGAGACGACTTGTTTTTAAACCGTGAGGACTTAAAAAAAATGATTTTTTTAAGCCGGTCACAATAATAGCCACCCTCTTGGTTCAAGCGATGTTTTGGATGCTCTGTTTTCTGCTCAGAATCATCTGGACTCGTGTCACATTCGATGGTTTACTTATCTGTGGATGCTGAGTCAGTTTCGATACTCGGTTCTTAATTGCAAGATGGAAACAATCTCATCTGCCGGCCACATAGGAAGCGTTGCCTTCATTCTTGCCTCCCTGGACCGAATGGTCTCTGTGTTCGGATCTTTAAGATTTGTGCTAAGAGCACTGATCCCTAGAAGTGCGTGCGGGACCACTTGCCATTCCAGCAGCACGAGAGGAGGGGAAATGTGAAAACATTGTCTAATGGGTTTACCAAGTTTATTTGAAGAGAGAGGATTGCAGCTCCATTACGGCTGGCATACATGCTCTGGAAGTCTTAATTATTGATGAAAAAATCTGCTCGGCTTCTAAACTCACAGATATGACAATTTTATAGGAATTTTAATCACCTTCCGTGTTAGGTAAGGCTACTTTTACGCAGTGACAAATAGAGTGTACGTTCTGAGCATTCTTAAGAGAGCTGTCACTTAGGATGACAAAATACCGTTCGCGTTTTGTGGCTTGATGTAAGTCCTTGGGAAATGATTGCAGTGTGGTTGCGATCGCCAGTGCAAGGCGTGTTTCTAGGGGGGAAGAGATGAAAGATTTCGTGTTCGCGGGGGCAAGTTGTATCAATCAGAGACAGCGTGCCTCCGAGGGGCTGTGCCGAGTGGTGCCCGTCCTGAGTCCACACGAGTTTCAGGCCACAGTGACGGTCCCGTCGGGGGGGATGTCTTGCCGCCTAAACTGAGCTGCTCGGTTGAGTCTCGGGCCCGTCCCCTCTTAGCACTGCAGGACAACCCCCCCCGCCCCCCCCCCCCCCCCCGCAGCCTACACGTTCCCTTCACCCATGTCATCGCCGGGTTAGTTGGCTTAAAAAAGAATTCCGCACAGCGTGCTGCTCTGGCTCCTGGTGGCCTTAGGGTGCGTTTAGCAGGTTCTGACCAGATAAGGCATATTTGTCCTGAGGATATAAACCAATAATTCCAACCTGAATTGAGATCAATGGGCCACATTTGCTCTAACCGCACAGAGCCTGGTCTCAGCACACGAGGCGGCTGTCCTGGGTTAGGGGCCCCGGGAGGGGCGAGTCCTGCGCTGGCCGGGAACCGCATGCTGCAGACCTCGACACCCTAAATCAATTAATTACACAGTTCAGCTCAGTTATCCTTCGGAGGCATGAAACACTCGGAACATCAGGGGGGACCCTCAGAGCAAAAATGAGGGAGAAAGTGGGGAAGCTTGTCTCTCACGAAACCGCTCCCTTCACGGGGGCTGCCGTGACCTGTTCAGTTCTCATCAGACAAGAGCAATCGTGTTTTGGGTTTGGTTTCATCGTTTTGCCAATAGGCGTGTGCTGAAACCACAGAAGGACTCTGGGATGTCATGGCCGCAGCCCAGTTAGGGTCCCGCACCAGGAGACGAGCCCCCTGCAGGGTCAGAGGGACACTTGGAGGTGGACACACACACACACACACACACACACGCAACCCCCCCACCCCCCGCTCACATGCACCCACAGTCTCGTGTGGTACTGCTGCAAAGGATGGGAGTATCATTTTCCTCGTGGAATAATGTTTTCTGGGAAAACACAAAAGCAGATGGTCTTCATTAGGAACACCCATTGTCCACAGGGCCCAGCTCTGAGCAGATAAATCTCTCCTGTTTCACCCCTACATTCCAAGGGCTGTAAGTGATTACAGGATGTCGGTGAAGCTGCTAAACCAAACCACACTTTGGCTGGCGTCCACCTCCCGTGCCATCCTGGTGCGTTTCCTCGGGACCCCTGCGAGTGCCCAGGAAGGCGGCCCTGCCTGCCCCTTCCTTACGCAGCCCCCCGGGGACCGGGGCCAGCTGTCACCGCCGGGATGGCCGGCTGGGGCGGGGGCAGGCGCAGGGAGGGGACCGTCCCCACGGGCCGGGGCGAGCTGTGTGTTCCACGCACACGGGGAGTGTGCTGGCGGGGCGGTTCCAGATGGCACCAGCTCAGGCGTCCTGTTCCCTGGCACCTCTGTGGCAGGCGGTGCCCGTCCCCAGGAAGAGCTGGCGGAGCTGCCCGGAGTTCGGAGACTTATAATTCCGGGTCTGTCCTGCCCTGTCTGGGAGCCAGACATCTGCTTATCCCATTTTCTTTCATACTGAGTTTGGAATAGCTTTAGTTTGGGGTGTGTGTGTGTGTGTGTGTGTTGGGGGGGTGGATTTTGTCATATTTAACAGCTGTTACAAAATTTCAACCCTGTGGGCTCAGAAAATACTTTTCTGCTGACCTCAGATTTTTCTACATAATTGACACTGGGTTGTAGAAAAATATTATTTACTTAACCTTTCATTGTCTGCGTCTCTGCTGTCCCTGGTCAGAGGCGCTGACCACCACCAATCTCGCTGACTGCCCCCCCCCCCCCCTTCTGGCTCATGTCGGCAGCATTTTAAGTTCACACCTTGAAGTGAGCGCAGAGTGGGGCTGAAGACTCTCTCCCTCTCTCCCTCTCTCTCTCTCCCCCTCTCCCTCTCCCTATCTCTCTCCTTTCTCTCCCTCTTTCTCCCTCTCTCTGCCTCTTTCTCTCCCTTTCTCCCTCTCTCTCTGCCTCTCTCTGCCTCTTTCTCTCCCTCTCTCCCTCTCTCTCCCTCTCTCTCCCTCTCTCTCTCTCTCTCTCTTTCTTCAGTCAACAGTGTTTCCTTTCACTTCCTGTCACAAAGGTCAAAGCGAGCGACCTTTGCTGGCAGTCCTGCCCACTGAATTATTCATGGCATTGACTTTTTGTCAGTGCACACAGTCCTGCTCTGGGACATTTTATTCATTTACCTCATTTAAAGCGCCTTTCTGCACCTGTTCAAGTATTAATATCATGTAATTTGGGCCTAATGCCGATTTTGCTGAGCACTCATTATATTTTTTATTAGCTATATTTCCCAACGATTATGTATGATTATTACCAAGCCTTACAAACAGCACCGGGTTATTCCCTAGCCCCTTACATCTTCTTGTCAGGCTGTTTTCAGAAGCGGGGAGGATAAACATTTGACCAGTCCCAATGTTTTCATTCCGACTCCGTCTCCAAGCGGGGACGTGAACGCCTCCTCCCTCCTGGCTTTGCACGCCCGTGATTAAACCCAGCTCCGAGGGAGCTGTACAAATGCCAGCGTTTATAAGGTCAACGCTTTTGTTAAAAATGCTATGTAAATGAGGATCTGCAAAAAGGGACATTAAATAAAATTAAATTCATTGTCTTCTTTAATGTCATTTACATTTTGGCTAAGCCCCGGCCTGTCAAGGAGGATTTTAAAAATAATTTTAATTACACATCATTTAGGGATCCAAGGTTTTCTATTCAGCAGCCTTTGGATAACCTGCAAACGGAGACTGTTTATTAACTTCTTACCGA